AGCTTGGAAAATACAGAAATTCATATTAATTTTATTGATTTATTACGGAAAAAACACATTCTTGATTAAAGTATAGATGTGTGCATATAACACTTTCTAAATCAAATTAAATGTTATTAGTCGCATGCACAGTCATACTTCAATGTTATCATTAAATATAAATAAATTAGGAGATAAAACAGAAAAACCTTATTGAAAATATATCTAGAAAAAAATAAAAACTAATATAAAATAGAAAAATAGCTATACAATATAGAAAACGTGTAGATTAACACCATAAAAATTATTTAAACCAAAATGACCAGGAAGTGTGCAAAATGCATGAATGTGCAGATGTGAAATATCCATACAAATCACTTTAAAGGGCATCTATGGTGAAAAATCTACTTTTCAAGCTATTTGGACAAACTTATGTGTATATATAGTGTATAGACCACCATATTGGGGTGATATAAACACACACGGTCCTTTTTTTTCAATTTAACAACATAAAAACGGTGGACCAATTAGAGCGGTTTTCAGACCGACCGCAACTTTACGTAGGAGTGCGGCCCCCACGCCCACCGAATTGATTGACAGCTGGACATGTGCACTGCATAGGTTGAGCCCTATGTGTGCACGTGCCTGATGTTCCGGTAGTCACGTGTATGTCAACAAGACCAGACAGACATACGCAAAGCAACCGGGAATAAAAGGTCTGTTCTGTTCGCTAGGATCAGCAATCATTATCAAATGTGATTAAGAGTAAGTTTCACATGTTTAAAGTGTTTTAAAACAGAGTATGTGTGTAATTAATTACAGCGATTTACTTTAGCTTTACTTCATCAGCACAGCCGCGTGTCAAAACAATTATAAAAGAAGACACTTCAATCCTGGTTTGTGGAAGTTAAATCAGGTTTATTTTGTACATTAGCATAACAGATATCCACACAGCACTGGAGGTTAGCCTGTATCCTGTCACATTTAAGTGCAAAAACTGCTAAGCGCACTCTGTCTGTCTGTCTGTCTTCCAGCCTGTGTGTGTGTGTGTGTGTGTGTGAGTGTGTGAGCGAGCGTGTGAGCGAGCGTGTGTGTCAGCTGCGGTGTGCGCGCGTATCTCTGTGTGCACGCGCGCGCGTATCTCTGTGTGCACGCGCGCGCGTATCTCTGTGTGCACGCGCGCGCGTATCTCTGTGTGTACGCGCGCGCGTGAACTTTGCAACGATATTGTGTGTGACTCATCAATGTAACTTCACAACAAATTCTGATTAGTAAAGATTAGTTTTTACTGTAGTATTTCTCACAAACGCTATGTGAGACCTTCTTCCTTTAAGTCCGGCTGTTGTCTAACGCAGTCGAGGGAGGAGATTAAAGCACGCAGGAAGGCACGTAGAAACAGTAGGCGGGCAGAACTCGCCTTAAAGGCTCAGTACGACAAAACCACCCCCTGCTGGAAATGTGTATAAAACAGCATCTTTTATAAGGTATAATGAAAAATCTGATGGGTGTTTTGAGCTGAAACTTTATATACACATTCTAGAGACGCAAAAGACTTATATTAAATCTGAAAAAGGGGTAACCTAGGTGCCCTTTAAAGGTGGAGTATGTAGGTTTGACCTAGTGGTTGAACAAGGTATTGCATGCCTGGTACAAAACACACGCAAGCGCAGGTTGCCTGATTAATGGCACCAACAGGAGTGAGACTATCAAGACCAAAGTCTGATTTGAGTCGTGTTCTAAATAAAAGCAATGGCAGAGGACAGAAGGAATATTTCCTATATACAAGAAATTGATTTATTAGGACGGCTTCTATTTCTTGAAGCTGAACAACAGGATAAACTGACAATGATCACCTCAGGTACACCCCATGTGCTTTATTCAGAGTTAAATACTAATAATGTGAGTTTAAATGCCATTTTACATGACATTTATTGCCATACTACTGAAAGCAGCAGCAGATGGTTTATCTCAGATCTTAAAAATAAAACAAACCGTTAAAAATGGAACTTTAGAACTGTGACTCAGTGCAAGCCAACACATGTTAGTGATTCAGCATGTACATTTAATGACGTTAAAGAGGTTTAATATGTGTTAATTAGATTATAAACCTTACCATTTCGTTGGAGTGCAGTGAGTGCACTATTGTGTGATTTTGAATGTCTGTATTTAAAAATCCCTGGTGTTTCGTCTGGTGTAAAGATCTGTGCGGCACTAAATTTTGAATCCTGCTCCCGCCCGCACCCACCAGGTTTTAACCCGAACCCGACCGCTCCCGCTTACATTCAGCATTTGTTGTCCCGCTGCCCGACCCGCCCCTTTTTCTACCCGCCGCGCTCGATCCCGCTAAAGAGCGGGAGGGAGAACAAAACCGAAAACCACCCAGCTATACAGAGTCCAGACAGCCTATAACAAGCTGTCTGTATAAACACACACACACACACATAAGCACCAAGCACACACACACACAGACAGACAAAGCTCTCTCTCTCTCTCTCTCTCTCTCTCTCTGCGCGTGCACTAACACACACACACACACAAGCACAAGCACCAAGCACACACACACACACACACACAGGCTAAGCTCTCTCTCTCTCTCTCTCTCTCATTTGCGCGCACACACCACACACACACACACACACACACACACCTCTCATTCGCGTGCATGCGCACACACACACATACACACACAGAAACAAACAAGCTAAACACAGCATCGCGCTATTTCATTTACACACATACATACGCGTGCTCGCTCAGGAGTCGAGAGCGATATTGCTAGACGGCCCGCTCCTATCCCAAATTAAACCTGTTACCGACCACTCCTCCGCTTTATTCGGAAATTTATTCCCACGCTGCAGAAATCTGGTCGGGTCACGTCGGACATTCGCAGGAATGCAGACCTCTAGTCTGGTGCAAACACCTTATTTGCTTATCACTGCTTATCTTGCCACGTGTAGGTTGTTAGGACACAGGGTTACAATGTAACCTGCTCACGTAATGTTTACATTCGTAATATTTATATTACTGTATTTGCTAATCAATAACCTCATGTGGAACTTTGAATGTGCATCTCATTTTGGAGTCTGCTATGGTCCACAGAAGGTCACATTTCAGTCTCAGACGCAAACTTTAAGAGTCTTGTTTTCCTCTAAGGCAACCCGGGGTGTTGAAATATAATTGGCTAAACTGGCATTGGGTGGGTTAAAGCCACCAAAACAATGACAGACATTCCAGCACATAACACACCTTTTTAAAGCAGAATATCTAACTTCAGCATTGTTTTTCAGATAAACAAAACTGTTCACTTGGCATGTTTCTTAAATATCTGCAAACATGTTATGGTTTTTTATGCTTTCGAAGAGTCAAAAACGTACATGCAGCACCTTTAACAATTTTTATATCATACGTTAAACAAAATCCCATCTGTCACCCTTTATACTACACTGACCCCAAAATGCATTAACACACAGTTAGCAGATGCCATTTGATTTGACGTTTTATTAATCCACACATTCTTCAGAGTGATTTAAGTGTGTTTTTCCGGGCCACTGTTTATTAACATCATTGTTTATGTCGCCCGTCGGCAGCCCATATGCTTTAGGTTACATGAGTGAATCTGAGCTAGAGAACTAGAGTCTGGAAGGAAACGGTTAAAGGCTTCCCTCAGTCTGACACATGGATCCTCTTTCTAGTGGTTTGAGAGACAACAGACCTGTGGCTCCCATCGCAGAGATGATTCAAGATGAATATGCATGCTTCCAATTACACCAGGAAATAATGAAACAATAAAGGCCCTCTGACAAGCATCCACTGTCACTCATGCGGACTCTCGTTTAGTTGAAAACAATGTGACCGGGTCAGACTTGGACCACTGTAAGACTTTAGTGGTCGTATAAGAGCACTGTAAGATTAACTGATTATATAGTGGTGTCTTAGATAAGATACTGAATGAACTAAATCTGAAAGAATACCACAGTACATGTCCAAAAACACATGCTCTGGTTAAATTCCACTCAAAACATTGGCATTAATTTTTCTTCCCCAGGAGTGCTGCAATCCTAAACCCAAAGCCAGAGCTTTCGATCTGTTTATTCCTATTTCAAAATGTAAATTCTAAAAACATGGCATTGTTTCAAGAAATATCTGCATAGATACAAAACCACAGGTCAATTCGAAATGATGTAGTATGCAGCCTATGCATGGAAGACCAGTATGTGGAACTAACGTATGATTCACGTGTGGCGCCAGCATCAACGCTACCTATTCACTTTAAATGAGTGACGTCAAGCATTGCCGAACTAAATTGTGGATCCGTCGGCGCCGCTTCAGTGGCGTTGATCGCTGCAGAAGTTGCGAACTTTAAGCGCCAATGGAAGCATCAGCCAATTAGATTGCTTTATGCAAATACCCAAGCTCAGACAGTGGCCGATTGCATAATGATTGCATAAGCCCTAACTTTCACACATATATATGTGTGTGTGTGTGTGTATACACACATACATATACATACATACATACATACATACATACATATATATATATATATATATATATATATATATATATATATATATGTGTGTGTGTGTGTATATATATATATATATATCTAGTGGTTAAGGTTTCAAAGTTTCATGAAGCAGTGCTTCAAAATCAGCCATCACTAAGACTTGATGTGCATACACACATAAACCTTGCATGTACAGTATTATGCCATTATTGTTGTTGCAGACACAAACATGTTATAGAGTGTCTGACTAGGGTTGAGATTTCAGGTGATGACAATTTGTACACAAAATACACAGACTATGTATACACAAAAACTGCAAGGGTGTTTTTCATAGTTATGCCCTCTGGGACCTGCCTTTAATTTCAGGCTCCCAAAATACCAGTCTGGTTGAAACAGATATGATGCAACATTTTCAAAACAAATGAGGACAGCAGCAGAAGAAGAGCACCTCTGTTAGCTAACATCAACAGCAAACTACAATTTATGGGGGGAAAAAATTCATAGACATCTGTCATTAATTCATCACATTTATTTTCAAAGTGTGCAAGAATTCCCACATTCACAGCACTTCAGCATTCATTGAAATCTAAATCGTTCAGTCTATTTAGACTGTATTTTTAACCATTCTTAAGGTTTAGCATTCTAAAAACGGTGATTTGTTTTACCTCTTCTTCCAGCTCTCTCTGTAAATTAATAATTGTATAATTTTTTTAAAAAAACTTACAGTAAACAGTTGGTTTTATATTTAGCTGATTCGAGGTAGGGCTGGTATGGTTTGTGGCACATTTTTAAAAAATACCTGAGCCAGAAAATATTAAAAGATTAAAAAGGCACCAGTGGAGTGTCTTAAAAGTCTTTGAATACATCTTTCTTAATAAATAAATCAAGGCGAAAGACGTTCCTTGATTCAACTGGAACAGAAACAACAGCAGACAGGGAATGTCAAAAAAAATTAAATCACAATGAAAGACTATAGTGTCTTTTTAGCAGTGGTTGTTTCTGTTTAAGTCTTAAACCATAGCAAAGAATAGACTACCTGATGAACTGGATGCCTGGAGCATCATTACTCCACTTCCTTGCACCATCTAGACATTGTATTGCTTTTGATATGAGCTTCCACATTAATGAGAACCGTGAATCTGGTATGTTTGAACCTAGCGAGTTCTTCTCCAGTAAACAACAGCTACAATGAACGCCACTGCTGCGATGGTAGACACTGTGCGCCATCTCGTCATGCTGCGGAAAATGCCCTCCTGCAACACAGGGCAAAGAAAGTATTAGATACACACTTTTACTGACATCCATCAAAAAGAATAGTTTGTTTTTCACATACTAATTGTGACTTAAATTATGGGATGAGAACTGAAAGCCACTTGTTGTATATTATTATTAATATTTAAACTATATTTTTTAAACTATACTGTAACCATGTTTCCATCCAAAGATGCAAATTCAATTTATGCGCAAAACTGGAACATCGCATCAAAATGCGGCGATTCCATTCAAAAGCTACTAAATGTTTCCATTAAAAATGTGAATTAAATTTCATCCAATGAGTCAAAGCTAACAAAATAGTCACTTCCTGATTAACTGGCACCAAATATCAAAAGTAAAAATAGAATTTATTGAGGTAGAATCTGCGTGAATCTTTTCTTTATTTAATAAGTGACTTGAGCCTCACAGGACATTGTCGACAAGCAATGGACGTGTGGTAGCATTTGAAGACATCAGACGCAGAGTGCAGACGCTCTTGACAATTCTGGTGTCCGTTCTTCATACCTCGTTTAAATGATCTAAGATGATTTGGCAGATCCTGGATCTTTGGTTCTTCAAACAAGTTCATGAATTACATTAGAATGTCTGGATCAGGCACGTGCACACATAGGGCTCAACCTGTGCAGTGCACATGCCCTTTTTAATATTGGATAGAAAGTGCCCTTCCAAAATGATCAAAAGTGCCCCCCGCGACACCCTCACCCCCCCTACCGCCCTTCAGTAGGCGCGTGACAACATCGCTCTTGAGTACGCGCGCTCCCCACCCCCACCCCCCTGCTTTACAGTACGCGCACAACAACACCGCTGATCAGAACGCGCGCGACAACACCGCTCTTCAGTATGTTGTAAAGTACTGATCTATCGATCACTGAAATCATGATCAGCAATGCAACGATTGGCTGATGGCACATCATCGTAATGACATCATTTGATTAATATTCAATCATCCATGTGAGCAAAACTATATAAAATTTGCTGTAAACGGTTTGTTAAATATGATACGCAATAACTTTCCTAATTTGTTGTGGGTTATAGGCTTTACACGCTCATGTGTCAAGAGTATTTACCAACTTATTTAGCTTTACATTTAGAGCAGATTTTCTTCACTATAGTAGCCTAGGCCTATTTTAGTTTCTTAATCGGCCTAAGGAATTTAAATTAATTGTGCATCAAAAAGCATTTTGATATCGGTAAAGGCGTCTGCATCTTTTGAGAAGCATCAATTTACCAGCATATTAGCTGTCAAAACGTCAAAAAGTATTATTCCTTTATAAAAAACAAACAAACAAAAATCTGTTGAATATTGTGCATGTCTATCAATATACAGAAATTGTACTAAAGCTGGGTCAGTACCTTAAAATAGTACGCATTTATATCTAAAAATCCATATTAATAAATATCTGTTTGATCCTCTTGGGAAGAGAGCAACCCGTTTTTGTACTTTTGTTTTGAAGTGCAGATTGCATAAGTTTTATTTACATATTTTTTTAAACGTTTATGTATATAAACAAATATTATTAATTATTTAATATTATATGAATTATTATAAATTATAAATGTGTATATATCAACTTTTTTAAAAACTATTTTACCATGTGTATATAATCAATACGTTATTACTGTAGACAAATATCAGAATTTGGTACATACTTTCAGTATTACCTTTGCTTGAAATGACCCAATCTAATCCTGTTTATATGAAATAAACTTGCTCCCAAGCAGGTTTGAGCTACCAGAATTGTTGCTATGACAACAACTCTCGGATGAGTTTTGAAGAATGAAACAATCATGGATATTGTCAAATCATTAATAACCAAATCCAGCTAATTGAGTAATTCACGTAGGAAGAACGAGCCCCTGGAGGAAATTAATAATATTATAACACTAATATTGAAATGGTGAGGCGTTTTAGAATGACCAAAACAACATTTCAGATGTTTTACAATGTGCTCAGCCTGCTGATTTGTCCATTCACACACATTTTCATCATCAAATGATCTTTTATAACAAAATCACATGGCTTTTTTAATGCGCATAGTGGAATTTGTTCGGTAGAAGTGTTTCCATCTTAGTTTATGCTCATCTTTTCTTATCGAACAAAAAGTTTGTGCATTTTCAAACATTTTTGCTCGTCATGGCGTTTCCATTAACCGTTTTTTTATGCGCATCTCCAAAATGTGCAAAAAAAAGGTGCACGGAAACATAGCTAATTAGTCAAAGAGAACAATATCATCCTCAGCCATTCTCAAATCATCCATTAATATTAATACTTCTACTTTTGTTATCATTATTATGACTCTTCTAACTTGTCCCACTGTTATCTCCTCATTATTATTATTATTAGTATTTCTACCATTGTCATAATTCAAATACTTTCTAAGTGATGTTTAACAGGCAAGGGATATTTCACAGTATTTCCTATAATATATTTTCCTTCTGGAGTCTTATTTCTTTTTCTTTGGCAGGAATAAAAGTATGTATTTAAAAGTAATATACATTTAGAAAAGTAATCATTTTTAAAGTACTGGTGCTGGAAACTTGTATAATGTCTTTTAATTTTTATGACAAGTAATGAAAACCCCAAATGCAGTTTTTCAGAAAATTGAATTATTACTTAAGGGCAATACAAAAAAGGATTTTTTAGAAATCTTGGCCAACTGAAAAGTATGAACATGAAAAGTATGAGCATGCACAGCACTCAATACTTAGTTAGGGTTCTTTTTGTCTGAATTACATGGAGTGGCATGGAATCGATCATTCTGTGGCACTGCTCGGGTGTTATGAGAGCCCAGGTTGCTCTGACAGTGATCGTCTGCAATGTTGGCTTTGGCATATCGCATCTTCCTCTTCATGATACCCCATAGATTTTCTATTGGGTTAAGCTCAGACGAGTTTGTTGTCCAATTAAGAACAGGGATGCCATGGTCCTTAAACCAGGAACTGGTAGTTTTGGCACTGTGTGCAGATGCCAAATCCTTTTGGGAAATGAAATCTGCTTCTCCATAAATCTGGCCAGCAGCAGGAAGAGCTCTAAAATGTCCTGATATACAGCTCCTTTGACCTTAGACCTCAGTAAACAAAGTGGATCAACACCAGCAGATGATATGGCAGAACAAACTATCACTGACTGTGGAAACTTTACACTTAATTTAAATTCAACTGTGTGCCTCTCCTCTCTTCCTCCAGACTCTGTGACCCTGATTTCCAAAGGAAATGCTAAATTTACTTTCATCAGAGAATATACGTTTGGAGCACTCCAGTCTGTCTGTTGTTCAAGACTGGCTTGACACAGGGAACGGGACAGCTGAAACCCATGCCTTGCATACATCACTGCCTAGTGATTCTTGAAGCACTGACTCCAGCTGCAGTCCACTCTTTGTGAATATCTCCCACATTTTTGAATGGGTTTTGTTTCACAATTTTCTCCAGGGTGTAATCCCTATTGCTTGTACACTTTTTTCGACCACATCTTTTCCTTCCCTTGACCACATATTTTCCTTCCCTTGACTACTATATTATATGCTGTCATCATGGCAAAGACAAAAAGAACATAGTTATTAGAATTAGATTTTTAAAACAGTTATGTTTAGAAATATGTGTTGATATTTATCAGCACTTTCTTAAAATTTCACAGGAGGGCTAATAATTTTGCCTTCAAGGGTATGTTATGTCTTCAATGCAACTATGGCAAAAAAACAAAAACTATTCAAAACTAAATCTATTAAAAAAAAACTCAAATATACTGTGAATAATTAAAGGTGCAGTAGGTGATCTGCCAAAATGGTAACCGCTTAGCATATTGTGTTTGGACGGCGGGGAGGGACTGTGATTCAAAGCCACACCCCTTGAAATTGCGAGCGCACGCACACCGTGTCAAAACAGCAGACATTCGCCAGTTAGTTAGTGCCAGCGCCGTGCAGGAATTACATTAATTACTTTGCCACACTTACATGCTATTTCAGAGCGAATATTCAGAGTAGCATGGTAAACAGTATAGGGAGGCTGTCATTGCTCAAAAATGACCCAATGTGAATATAAAAGCAACTTCAGCTCAGTAAAGCAGTTAGGCGGAATAGCGCTATTTACTGATGTTTTGTTCTTAAACTAAATATAAATCTGCATTACAGATGCTGTCAAAGGACTTTGTGAAACTGAGAATAATCACATCAATCTTTCACCGGGAGATTTCAGTGGCTGAACAACGTCTGTGCATACAAGTGATTCATAACAACACAATCTAACATAAGCTTAGCCTGACTAAGTTTTAAAACATTACCTGTCTAACAGTGATACTTCAGCCATGGTGTCGTCCTTCCTCCAGCGTGCTAAAGTAACTCCAATACTGATTCAGGTTTTTAAAAGTTTCAATTCAGCATTTGATTTCTCCCTTTCCGTCTCGTGACCGCGCGGCCGCTTTAAGGGCGAATTATACCCGCGCCTGGCTTTACAGTAATCGGCCCGAGCTCGTCTGTCCTTCAGCGCCTCTGGCTCCGACTCGGCATCGGCGAGCGGCCCGTAGCTCGCTCGCGCGCATGCGGTTGTGGTGCAGACGGGCACGCGCTAATGGCGGATCTGCGTGAACACATGCGCAGAAGTCCGAATTTACATATGCTGACTGACAGTCTGACCTGCTTATCGGAATTATGGGACATATCGGTCCGACTCTATTTAATTGGATGAACATTTTTTTGTTTTATGCTTTACCCAGAATATAAAAATACTTATAAACACATTTGGATCATTTACTGTAATCATTACTATTGGACTGTGAAGAGACTTTCAACCAGCACAACAAAAAATGTTTCTGAAGACAATCACCTACTGCACCTTTAAATATATACTGCATGTTCCCATATTGAGTGAACTGTATAACTCAAGCACAATCCCCAGCAGCAGTACATCTCTGAATTACTGTAAACAGCAGGTGACCGTTCTTTCTCAAATCCCTGAAATGAGGGTCAAGCGTGCAAGCATCACGTCTCCTCCCCTCACAGGGGTTTGCATTCTTTAGGCTCGTGCTGTAAATATTGTCACATGTTCGCTACATCCCAGTTCTCAGGGCCACAGTATGCTCCATGACGCCTGAGCGTTTGAAGTCTAAACCCGGCACCCCACATTCTGCTCCGTTTATGATCATATGTGCGCTATTAAACTTGAGTGGCCCCAGGAACAGCAGTCGGGCTCTGCAGCACACATGCAAACCGCATCTTACTCGAATATGATAACATCAGCTCTGGGATGAGAAGTGGAAAGCCCCCCCAAAAAAAGATGCGTCTTAATGTCCATTTTCTAAAGGGCTGAATCAGATCAGTGGTGTGTAGATGCGTGCCATCCTGGGTCGGTGGGGTTGTGTGTCTGGGTATATTCCTAGACGGGATGTGTCTGGGTTCGTGCTTATGTACTTCCTGGCTGGAGTGGGTGCGTCTCTCTGTGTGTGGTGGCCCATGTCTGGTTCGACCTGTGTGGCTCCACATGGGTGGCCAGACAACACACACACAAAACACACACAAAAAAACAGCAACTTACCCATCCTCCTTGCTGTCTGATCCAGGCAGAAATGTGTTTCTTCATGAACTGTAAAAACCAGCTAATGATGTTCTTGATAATCTCCAAGTGGTTCTGAGTCAGAGCCTAGAGGAATGAAAGGTAATTATATTTTACATGTCTGTATTATGAGAAAGAATTTTTGACATAATTGAGGTTCATTTAATTTGTCTCCTTGAGTTTCATTGATCATGAAATGTCATTAGCACTCTGGACTCTTTCCACCTGGTATTATGCGTCATGTGTTGGGATTTCTTGGAGACGCTTCCCTTTTACTTATCTAGACTCTACATGAGCTGAAAGAACGAATCCATGTCACACAGATTAGAAGTGAGCAGGAAATAAAGTGCGTGACAAGGGTGTGTTTTGCAATGCAGTGCAGCAAAGGGTGAATCCATTGTTTTGGTGCACTTTGTGACAAGACATGTCAAAATAAGTGCATGTTAGGTTAGTAGAAGGAGTGTAGGCATTTTTGTAGCTATTGGAATGTATTGAGAAAATAAGCAATAATAGCAATCAGCTTTTTTTTCTGAGTATCTCTGGAATTGGTAGAAAATGGAAAAATATAATGGGGTAGTTCACCCAAAAATGAAAAATCACATTTCAATGAAATTTCTTTAAAAATCTTCAGAAATTCAGCAGCTATTGATGTCCATGTGTAGCAACTACAATACTATGTAAGTCAATGGAGTTTATTTTAACAATCTCAGCCATGGTCCCCAACCCTCAGGCTGTAAATGGGTCCGTGGAGCAATTGGTGCCAGGCCGCACAAGAAATCATTGATTATTTCTGTTTTATTTATTATCTGAGTTTGAATATTTTATTTTGAAAAATCTTTTATGTTGAAAAATAGCCGTATTCTCTTACATCTCGGTCACTTGAGGGCCAAAATGCAACCCATCAGCTAGCAAAATGAGTAAGAAACAGACGTCATTTGCGAAGAAGAAAAGGCCCAGTGAAGGACCCACAAACTGCCTCCGCAACCCATCTGTCAACAAATCAGGTGAATCCAGCATGTCCAGCGGGAAATCACAAAGGATGGTATATCGCATTTTTTCAGTGCACAAGTTTGTTATTACCAATAGACGCACGAGAATGCCGTGAGCGCACGTGGCAAGAACTGCCAGATCAGTTTCATATTTTGTATGGAATATACACATTTCAGTAGATTAATTATCTTTGACAAACACACTGCAGTGCTTTTTCATTTTATCCATAAGTAAAACTTGTATCAGAGTTGCAGCAATGTTTTGTCAGCTTGTCATTCTCTGAGAAAATGGTTAATGGTCGCAATCTACGCAATGTCCCCCCAACTACCCCCCCAGGCCTCTGTAAAATTGTCAAACGTTGACTGGTCCACTGTGATAAAAAGGTTGGGGACCACTTGTCTAAAGCACACAGCTCAGGTGCTCTTAAGGCTAATTCACATTTACTAATTTAAGGACGGCGATGCAGTGGTGCAGTAGGTAGTGCTGTCGCCTCACAGCAAGAAAGTCACTTGTTCGAGCCTCGGCTGGGTCAGTTAGCGTTTCTGTGTGGAGTTTGCATGTTCTCACCGTGTTAGCACTGTCCAAAGATGTGCGGTACAGGTGAATTGAAAATGCAAAATTTTCCAAAGTGTATGAGTGTGAATGAGCGTGTATGGATGTTTCCCAGGGATAGGTTGGGATGCGCTGCATAAAATATATGTTGGATTAGTTGGCGGTTCATTCTGCTGTGGCGACCCTAGATTGATAAAGGGACTAAGCCGAAGAGAAAATTAATGAATGAATAATTTAAGAACGGGAGAAATGGATGGCGCACCCGCTGCATGGTCTAAAACAGCTTATCCTTATTCTCTTTATGAGTTATTGGTGTTTTGGGTATAACATATCTCCTATTCCCTTTAAGAGCAAGCTGTGGTCACACCATGATGCATTTGCTATTTACATGGCAGAACCTGTAAGTGAAAAAACTAAATATTTTACTAGCGAAGAAATGGATTTGCTCATGCACGTGGTTAAAGAGGTACATGTAATGACTATCCATTATAACAGGAGTGTCAAACTAGGATCCAACCCTGCTTAAAAACACTGAAGCTGTGATCACACTGCACTCTTTGTCGCATAGACTTCCATTCATACGCATGTGAATGCGGAAGACCGGAAATGCAAGTTCGTGCGACAAGTTTTGCAGTTCGATGCGTTGCAAAGTTCAAGCTTGGAGAACTCTGACCTGAGAAATCGCATCACATGACTGTGTGAGACCAACTAAAGATCAAAACATGACCTCAAAACATGAAATGTAAAATATGGACCAGTCACTCGCTTTTTTTTAATGTCTAATCATCTTGTTTAATCCTGTCCCTTTTTCATAGCACCATACAACAGAATGTCGCATGCTCAAGCTCTAGTGTAACAGTGGTATTACCTGTAGGTTTCAATCAAGCCTTAAGGACTCAATTAGTTTAATCAGGTGTGTTTTATTGGGGTTGGAACTAAACTATGCAGTACTGAGTTAGACACCCCTGCATTATGACATGAAGGTATTTTTACATTTATGTAGACAATCATAACCTTTTTAATCCTTTACTTTTTAACATCTAAAGAGGTTTGTATGCTGCTGCACATCCCTGTGGGTGCACTCTGAAATCACCTATAGGTGCAAATCACTAATGCACTCTTTAAATAACTTAAAAAACTGCATCCGCTGACTTTAGAACATATTTTAGTTGGTCAATGGTGCTGTCTATTTTAGTAAAAAAATAGAAATGTATCACCTTAACACACCTCCTTTTCAGACCAGCACAGTCATGGGTACTCAAATAGGTGCAGATGCATTTGCTATTTAAGCAACAGGGCACAGGATGTGAAAATAATACCTGCACCGACTAGAAGATTTTTAGATGAAACTGGTTTGTGGTGACTCATAAAATGCAGGTCTACAGCGAGCATAAAAACAAAAACATGTGGCTCCTTATGACACAATAACGTCTCATGAAGTGAAACGATCAGTTTGTACAAGAAACTGCACAATATTGACAATCACTGTTTACATGGACATCCGTAACTAAATTATTTACATTAATTTAAATCCCTCACCACTCATGTAAACAATATGATTAGGTGTTTACATGAGTAGTTCATGACCACGTTTTACATGTTATAGCATATTCGATTAACATAATCAATGCTTCATGTCATTTTGGGTGTTTCATTTTAAATTAGTTGACTTTAACTGCACTTTCACTTTCATTCAGGAGTATTTCATGCATGCCCCGTGACAAACGAGATATTGGATGGGAGTATGAACTGCCTGTCCCAAAATGCGGCAAAAATCCTACACGATAGTAATAGTTTGATTAAGTTGTTTACATGTCTTTACTGCACTTCAATAATGCGACTAAAATCGGCATACTCCACATGTCTTAATCCAATTTCTGTTTAGTTTGATTATGACCAAAAATCGCTGTTTACATGGTAGACATTCAATCAGAGTATTGTCTCAATCATATTAAAATCGGATTATAGGTGTCCATGTAAACATTCTCACTGTTATCTTTAGTTGACAGTCCTGAGCATGTTAACGAAAATCTACAGCTTCATATTGCAGAACGAGGAAAATCTGTGAGAGCCAATCTTTATAATTGACAGGGCCGGCGCATCCAAAGAGGCGACCAAGGCCGCAGGTGACAGAATAGAGAGGGCGGCATCCCCAAAACTACCCTCACCACCTGCGCCCTCAGTTATATCCGCGTCTAGAGCAGCAGAATAGAGAGGGCGGCATCTGCAACACTACCCTCACCACCCGCGCCCTCAGTTATATCCGCATCCAGGGCTGCAGAATAGAGAGGGCGGCATCTGCGACACTACCCTCACCACCCGCGCCCTCAGTTATATCCGCGTCTAGTGCGGTAGAATAGAGGGCGGCGTCCCCGACACTACCCTCACCACCCGCGCCCTCAGTTATATCCGCATCTAGGGCTGCAGAATAGAGAGGGCGGCATCTGCAACACTACCCTCACCACCCGCGCCCTCAGTTATATCCGCATCCAGGGCTGCAGAATAGAGAGGGCGGCATCTGCAACACTACCCTCACCACCCGCGCCCTCAGTTATATCCGCATCTAGGGCTGCAGAATAGAGAGGGCGGCATCTGCAACACTACCCTCACCACCCGCGCCCTCAGTTATATCCGCATCTAGGGCTGCAGAATAGAGAGGGCGGCATCTGCAACACTACCCTCACCACCCGCACCCTCAGTTATATCCGCATCTAGGGCTGCAGAATAGAGAGGGCGGCATCGGCAACACTACCCTCACCACCCGCGCCCTCAGTTATATCCGCATCTAGGGCTGCAGAATAGAGAGGGCGGCATCGGCAACACTACCCTCACCACCCACGCCCTCAGTTATATCCGCGTCTAGGGCTGCAGAATAGAGAGGGCGGCATCTGCAACACTACCCTCACCACCCGCGCCCTCAGTTATATCCGCATCTAGGGCTGCAGAATAGAGAGGGCGGCATCTGCAACACTACCCTCACCACCCTCGCCCTCAGTTATATCCGCATCTAGGGCTGCAGAATAGAGAGGGCGGCATCTGCAACACTACCCTCACCACCCGCACCCTCAGTTATATCCGCATCTAGGGCTGCAGAATAGAGAGGGCGGCATCGGCAACACTACCCTCACCACCCACGCCCTCAGTTATATCCGCGTCTAGGGCTGCAGAATAGAGAGGGCGGCATCTGCAACACTACCCTCACCACCCGCGCCCTCAGTTATATCCGCGTCTAGGGCTGCAGAATAGAGAGGGCGGCATCTGCAACACTACCCTCACCACCCGCACCCTCAGTTATATCCGCGTCTAGTGCGGTGGAATAGAGGGCGGCGTCCCCGACACTACCCTCACCACCCGCGCCCTCAGTTATATCCGCGTCTAGTGCGGTAGAATAGAGGGCGGCGTCCCCGACACTACCCTCACCACCCGCGCCCTCAGTTATATCCGCGTCTAGGGCTGCAGAATAGAGAGGGCGGCATCTGCAACACTACCCTCACCACCCGTGCCCTCAGTTATATCTGCGTCTAGTGCGGTAGAAGAGAGAGGGAGGCATCCCCGACACTACCCTCACCACCCGCACCCTTAGGTATATCTACATCTAGGGCGAATAGAGAATAGAATAGAGAGGGTGGCGTCCGCGACAACTCCCTCAATCCCGCGCCCTCAGTTATATCCGCGTCTAGGGTGGCAGAATACAGAGGGCGACATCCGCATAGAGCTGAGGGCGGCATGACCATCCTTTGCCTTGAGCGGCAGTTCATCTAGCTCCTGCCCTGATAATTAAGATCAAACATGTGAACTTAAAGAATTATAACCCCAATGAAGCGCCAAGGACTGCAGTTTCAGTTAAAAAACCTTATTTAATGTTGTCTTAGATGGCCTGAGGGTAAACAAATTAACAGCTCGATCTAATTTAGGTGAACTATCCCTTTAGTACCAGGTGTACAGTGTGGCTAAATTATTATTAATGACAGCATTCAAACATGAAACATAATTAACACAAAAACCTTGTTTAAAAGTGAAAGATAGAAATGGCAAACTAGTTTTTTTTTTTACCTGGAAAATGAGCCTATAAGCGAGGTGAAACAGAGCCACCACACGTCCCCAGTTAATGCCATCATCAAAAATGCTTCTGGCCACAGTCATGAAGACGTCCTGAGCGCAGTTTGACTGAACGGTGCTGATGAGACTGTTAGGGGAAAGGAAAGATTTACATGTGTTATTACAGGCTACTCAAACTTCATAAAGACCTATAATTCGTTTTCAAAGTAAATCATTACCTTGTTTTAAACCAGTGTCTCTCAACCACGTTCCTGGAGGACCACCAGCACTGCATGTTTTGGATGTCTCCTTTGTCTGTCACACCCATTAGATGTCTTTCAGTCTCTCTGCTAATGAGCTGATGATCTAAACCAGGTGTTTGGTTATGGAGACATGGAAAAAATTGCTGGTGGTCCTCCAGGAACATGGTTGAGAAACACTGTTCAAGATTGTACACCATGTCTACACAATCCTGGTTAGTCAGTTTTAGATGTCTCATTATATCCATATAAACGCAGTCTTAAAGGTAATATTTGCATATTTATGAGATTAGTAGCAATAAATGGACAACTACTGTACACATCTAGCATGAAGAGTCTTTAATAGCTGTTTTGTCCAGAACTGTTTGTTAAAGTATTCTGTAACATACAGCTTAAATTAGTTTCCTTTCCACACACTAGTCATTTTTTTTTACCTCAGACACTGAAACTAAACCCAGCCTAAAAGCATCTTTGACTGAAAAAGCACATAAATGTTTAATGAGGTAAAGACTGGAGAGGTCTATGATTGGTAGTTTGTAGCTAAACACAGTGTATTACCTAGGGATTGTAATTTGGGATTAATTTTGGTGCTCTTTGGCACCTAAAGCAGGGTTTCTTTAACTTTAAGGTTAAAAAATGACCCAGCAATAAATGACGTTTGACAAAAATATCCTTTTAAAGTATAAGTAACACCTAAAAACGGTATGATGGGGTTGGTACCTTCTCTGCCTATTCAAAAACATTTCCAGATTAAGGGTTCCATTTTAAATATCAATGCACAAAGTCTAAAAATATATTATAATAAAAATAATAATCTATAATTTTGACCATACCATTTGCCAAAAATATACCAATGCATCATAAAACTGGTTTTGTGGTCCAGGATCACAAATAACATTTATCATTATCTGAAATTTGCTGCAATGTCAGGCAAATTTATTATTATTTTTTCTCATTATCCACAGCCATATCACCCTGAAGCCCAAGACTGGTTACTCACTGAAGCTACTATAAGCAGGGCTGAGCCTGGTCAGTACCTGCATGGGAGACCACATGGTAAAACTAGGTTGCTAATGGAAGTGGTGTTAGTGAGGCCAGCAGGGAATGCTCAACCTGCTGTGTAAGGCCTAATGCCCCAGTATAGTGAAGGGGATACTAAACTATCGGTAGCGATATGTGTTTTTTCCTCCATCAGACCTTACCCATCATGGCCTCCCAATAATCCCCATCCACCGAACTTGCTCCAATCACTCCAATCTTTCCACTTTACCAATAGGTGGTATGTGGTGAGCACACTTATGCCGTTCTCCTGTAGCTTCCCTCACATCATCCATGTGGATAATACATATTATACACTGTAAAACCCACCAGTCAACTTTATCAAATGAAATGAGTGTAGTTAACTCAAAATTGACCACTCATTTCAAAAGAGTTTGGAACTCAGTGTTGAAGGTAATGAGTTAATTATATACCTCATCAACTTAAATGGAGTAAGTTCACAGTACTCATAGTTTTTTTAACTCAAATGGTTTGTAGCAATCGGTTTCCCCAAAAGGTTTGAGTTGCCTTAACTTATTGGGTTTTACAGTACTCAGCTGGTTTAAGTTCTCTTCATTTGTTGGGTATTCCTGTGCTCAAATTGCTTCGTTTACTCAAATGGATAAAGTTCACAGTATTCATTAGGATTAGCTTTTGAACTTAAATTGGTTTGTTGCAATCGGTTTCCTCAAATGGTTCGAGTTACCTTAACATTTTGGGTTTTAGAGTGTAGGAAAATAGGTGGTCTTAAAAGAATTATTTCACCCAAAAATAGGGTTGTAACAATATACCGGTATGACGGTTTACCACGATTTGAACGTGCACGATTATCATACCATGAACAATTGCATATCAACGGTTTTAACCCTTAAAGACCGAGACAGCCGCATTATTATTATATAATATAAAAATTACATAAAAATAAGCATTGCTCTTAAATGTTTAATAACTTTTGATCCGCTGATCCGATTCATACAATTCAAAGATTGGCATAAAGAAGAGAATCTCAGCTTTCCAGTGATGTATCACATAACATTCGCGGACTTTCAGAGGCTCCGGAATCAGTGCGGTTACGTCATCAACATTTGACAACGCTGATTTGACAAAGAAACGCTCGTCACTGTGTCTCCGGACAAATCAGACATGATACATTGATGCATTGTCCCTCCTCCATGCACAGATTGGTTCAACCTCGCTATATCACAACCAATAAGCATAGGTTTCGCTTTTGTTTGTGGACCAAGCTTTTTGAACAACACGGAATGAGAGAAAGGCATACATTTATGCGCGGCTAAATAAAACGCAAAAAAAAAAAAAGTTTTGCATGAAATAATTCTCATACTAAGTACTTTTGCATGCACAGCAGCACAGAAACATGACAAAACAGTGACAGCAAAGACGAACTGCTGCTCTTGCTGTTTTCAAAAGACGCAAATGAAGATGCAGCTGTTTGTCTGCATTGCATACAACCACAGCCATATCCATGCTGGCACATAAAACCTAAGGATGTTCCATATTGAATCTAGTTTCGTTATGTAACTATTTATAGTATAGTAAATATTTATATCTATTTTTTACTGAGGATTTGCACCATGTTTATTTGGACTTTATTTGGACTTTGACACATTATTTATTATTTTCTTATTTTTATTTGTTCATTGTAAGTGGTGTTGTTTATAGTAACTAAAAATATATTATTTGGAAAAAGTCAAATTTGCTTCACTGTTCTATTATTTTGTAACATTTGTAACATACCGTATACCGTGAAACCGTCAAACCGTGGTATTGTTTTAGACGATTATCATACCGTGAAAAATTCATACCGTTACAACCCTACCCAAAAATGAAGATTGCACCATGATTTACAACACTTCCTAGTCACTTCCTCTTACTTGGTTTACGAGACACCACTGTTAAACCCAAAAAAGTTTATTAAACTTATTAAAATTCATTAGAATTACAGATTACAGATACAAATACATTTGACTTAAGGTGGGTCTTCTTTGGTGTTGTACTTCTAATTTGCGACTGCTGTTTTGTATTCTGTGCTTCCGGCAGAAAATAGTGTCTTGTGAGGAAGCTAGAGGAAGTGACAATTAAAATATAAAAATAATTTAAAAAATGGATATTTTGTTTACATAAATGCACCAATTTGTTACAGAAGGCCTTCATTCACCCTGCTGAGCTGTGTGCAGCGTGTTTTACAATGGATATATGCGCTGTGTTGAACTTCTTTTGGACTGAAGACATTTAACACCTGCTGACTGCCATTCTAAAGCTTGGAAGATCAAAATAACTCTGGATGAATTCATCAGAAAGAAGGAAGCCAGATACAAATAGAATGCCTTGAGGGTGAGTAAATCATGAGGTAATCTTCATTTCAGTGTGAACTACCCCTATAATATCAAGCAGGTTGAGAGCAACTGGATTAGACACTTTGTGCATTTAAAAAAAAACATACTGTTGAAGCTCAGCATTCTTGTTAAGGTCGTCAGCTATCTTCAAAAGCTGATCTACAACTTCTTTGATTTGAGGATCCTCTTCATCCTGAGGTCTTCCTCCGAGAGTCTCGTGACTCACGTGAATGTTTGGATCATCTATAGTAGCTTGCTGAATAACGTACCTTTACATGAAAGCAAAGCACAGAAACAGTAAGATAAATGCAGTCATTTACAGGGTTTCCACTCTTCCATGAACACCAGATTCAAGAACCATTGTAGTGCCTTGAAAGTGCTTACTTTACTTAACATTTCACTTAATATTTCACATTACACCTAATATTTACATTACACAGAGAATTTTCTTTTAGAAATGTACCATTTTAAATAGTCTGATATCATTTTTATTTAACGACATGTCTGCAAAGACAGATATTTTTAAGGCAAAAAACATTTCATTAATAATTATATAAGTAAAAAACAAACAAATGAATAAACTGATAAATCTGATATGATGTATTACGTTAATATATATAGGCCTGTCACAATAAGGAATTTTTGTTGTGCGATATATTGTCACAGGAATTGTTGCGATAAGCGATGTTGCTGTCATTTTAGAAGGGATGTCAGAAATCAGGCCCAATCATGCAGTTTCAGACTCCATCGGAATTGAATGTTTCCTCCCGATCAGGACTCTTATACATATATATATATATATATATATATATATATATATATATATTAGGGCGGTAAAAATTTGCACATGATTATTTTGAAATATTTAATTCAGCCTTGGGCAGCAGAAAAGTGAGCGAATCCCCCGGTCCTCACTTTCATCCGCGAACCGGTCACTTTCTTTTTAATTTTCGGATTGAGGGCGGCATGACTGCGGTTTGCCTAGTGCGCCAGCTCAGCTTGCTCTGGCCCTGTGTGTGTTTAGCATGCAAAGAAATGTGGATAAGACCAAGGACCTGCTTTTTGAAGGAAAGTTTCAGTATAAAACAATTAATGTCGCATCACCAGGCTATTTCAGGCGTTTCATGTTTAATCTTTAGACTAAAACTGCAGTTCAGCAGTTCACTTTCATTCAGCATATTTTCATTCAGGATGTTTTTTGTTTTTTTTTAAAGATTTATTTTTGGCCTTTTTGCCTTTATTAGATAGGATAGTATTGAGACAGGAAGCGAAGTGGGAGAGAGAGGGGGTAGGGTAGGGAAATGTCGTCGAGCCAGGATTCGAACTCGCGACGCGCTATTGCACCATATGTCGGCACGCTAACCACTAGGCTATTGCACCGACCATTCAGGATGTTTTAATGGAATTTAATACCGCATAGTGAATGGAGAGAAAAACCTCCACATTTCAGGACTCGTGTGATCCTTTAAGGTAATCAAAAATCGCTGCTTACGTGGTCAACTCTTAATCAGTATTATCTTAATCATAAAAGTGGAGTATTGGTGTCCATGGAAATGAAAGTACCAGATGATGTCCCAAGCTGTCAAAGACAGCCCATTTCTCTGCCTTTAAGCTGCGTCATGAGCCCTCAAATGTTTCATTAAGTTTGACTTGTTTCCCCCCTACATGCAACTTTTGTAAAGCTTCTGCTTCACGTTGTTGTGTCAGGATCCTTGCTTGTACAATACAGCCATACTTTAGAACGCTTAGTTTAAGCAAATTTGATGAACGCGATCATGCGTGTTGATGAATCACCGCTCACCGGGTGCACTGTACTGTGCGCATTGACGGCACGTGTTGTCTGTGTGTGTGTGTGTGTGTGTGTGTGTGTGTGTGTGTGTGTGTGTAGTTAACTTAGAATCCAACATGGAAATCATTTTTGTTTGTTATTGACATTGATTGTTTTGAAATTCATGGTACTTACATGCCTGTATTTTTATTTCTGTAATAAATACGGCGTTTCGTGATTAATCATGATTAATTACAAAAAAAGTGTAACCCGTCTATAGTTATGCGGTGACACAGAGTTAGACCTCTTACTTGACTTCACACAGAAACAGCAACGCGTGCGGCATGACATCACTTTGTTGCAGAGACGTTGTTGGTTAAATGCCAGCAATAGAACACGGAAGCAGCTTGATTTTATATTCAATCTTTTTATATTTACTGTTGCACTAAAGTCCAAAAGTGAAGAATTTATGTTAGTTATTACTTGATTCTGTTCAAGCTACCTCACAGAAGTGCTCTGTTTTTTAAGAGTTGTTGAATGGTAAAATAAGGTGAATTAAGTAAAACATAAGGAACATCCTGGATCTGTTTCTTTGCTCTTCTTTATTCTTTTAAATGTATTATAGAAGTATCGGATCGAGTTTCGGTAGATACTCAAAATCAAAAGACTAATTCTGATGCCATCACTTTACTGTGAATTGATAACCAGGACATATTTAAAGTCTGTTCACCATTCCAAGTCTATAAAAAATTTGCATTTTAACCAACAATAGAACTACACATATGCCTAATATTATTATTCATGTTTTTACCATATGTTTGAGAACACCAATAATAATAGCCTACTCATATTACCTTTATTTTACATCTACAGAATCGAGAGAAAATTGTAACTCAAAAAAAAAAAAAAATCAAGATTCTCAATTCAGCCAGAATCATGCAGCCCTAATAGTATATAGTGTGTTTCCTTCAATTATTTTAAAATCAAGTAATGCACCTTTCATTCAAAAATCTCTCACTTGTAATATGTGAGCATATTTACTGTACAAAACCTATCAGTGATCTATAAGGACTAAAAAATAAAATAAAAAAATAAAAACCCTACATTCTGTTTTGACAGCAGCACATACAATTAAAGAAATAACACCACAAGCACTTTTATTTTAAATGTAATTGAAGCACTTTTATGGAGCTACGTTTCCAGTCTGGTACTTTACAGTGTGGTAACCCTGTAATCAAACAAATACAAAAATGATAAATGCGGAAGTGAAGATCACATGAGCTTACCCTCTAAGTAGAACAGCACTCTGCTCAATGATCGCATCGTCTACCACATCTGAAATAAGCAAGAAAATGCTGAGAGTTAACAATGTTGGGTCCAGTTATTTTTAAAAGTTATTTATATTACAATCTTAATTTTTTTTCCTTTAAAAAATAGCGCAAATATATCATAACATTTACTTGCCTATGTTTCCTATGTTCATAACACATATGCATGTTGAACAATGAACTTCATAACTAGTGTTGGGTAAAGTTACTTTTAAAAGTAATATATTACAATCTTAAATCTTTATCTTAAAAAAGATAGCATATATACAGTTGAAGTAAGAATTATTAGCCCCCCTTTGAATTTTTTTGTTTCTTTTTTTTTTTTATATTTCACAAAAGATGTTTAACAGATTCAGGAAATTTTCGCAGTATGTTTGATAAATTTTTTTCTTCTGGAGAAAGTCTTATTTGTTTCATTTTGACTACACTAAAAGCAGTTTTTAATTTTTTAAACACCATTTTATGGTCAAAATTATTAGCCCCTTTAGGCAATTTTTTTTTAGTCTACAGAACAAACCATTGTTATACAATAAGTTGCCTAATTACCCTAACCTGCCTAGTTAAGCTAATTAACCTAGTTAAGCCTTAAAATGTCACTTTAAGCTGTATAGAAGTGTCTTAAAAATATCTAGTCAAATATTATTTACTGTCATCATTGCAAAGATAAAATAAATGAGTTATTATAGATGAGTTATTAAAACTATTGTTTGGAAATGTGTTGAAAAAATATTCTCTCTGTTGACTAGAAATTGGGGAAATAAATAAATAGGAGGCTAATAATTAAGGGGGCTAATAATAATAATGACTATAAAACATTATAAACATATACTTGCATATGCATTACTTTCCTTGAAAAGAAACTAAGGAACACATTTAATATATTACTTTTAAAAGTACACTGTTCATAACATAAGCATTTTAAAACAGGATGAGGTCAAAGTACAGGAAGCAATCTTTGTATTCCTGGGTGTGATAATGGGGTGAGATGGCACTATAACTGCGGTGAACAGTGACCTCTATTGGGAAGAACTTCCTGTTTTGATACAGGCTGCTTTACAAGATAGGTAGAGGCATTGGCTTATGTGAAAGTTTGCGGTGTAACCAACTTTATTTGGCCCGGTTTTCTGTTCTCAAATTTTGAAATATATCAAAATTTAATACATACAGTACATAAATTGACAAATAGTGTGCGTTTATGTGTGAATATGTGCATAAATTTAAAACATGCTGTGATTTAGACCTTTTTCTTTTTAAGTGATGTTTGCAGACATGTTTAAATTCATTTTTAGACAGCACAACTAACACAATGTTTTAACTTCAGATTAGTCCATTTATTCATCAGAAGTCGCCACAGTGGAATGAACCGCCAACTTATCCAGCATATATTTTACACAGCGGATGCCATTTAAGCTGAAACCCAGTACTGGTTTGGTTGTTTTTCAGGCAAACAGACATTTTCTGGAGGATTAAAATTACCTAAACAACAACATTTGTACTGTGAAATGCTATTAGACCTTTAAATAATAAAGAAAATGTTAATATTTCACTCACACCCATACATAACAATTTCGGTAAAGCATGATTAATGTAATTCATGACTGAATAAACACATTTTCAACAACATTTTATATATTTTGAAGGTATTATTTTTAAACTAATTCCAAAATAACTGGGTATTTTATTGTCACACTTTGCAATTTATTGCCTAAAATGTCTTACATTGCTAGTTATTTTTAAAAATGCTTTTAAATAAAATGTTCACCTAAAATACCAAATTAAAAGCTAAAATAAACAAATGTAAATATTTTTCTCACATCCATACACTGTAAAAAATATATGATCAATTAGTCCAGACAGCATTTGTTTCAGGTCATTGTAACTTGTTAAACTAAGTTAATCATGTTCTATGTTAATTTCATAAGTTATGCAAGCTGTCAGTTTAACATAAATAAAAGTTCAATAGACTCATAAGGTTCATTTGATTCAGCTTAAAAATTTGAGGCAACTAGGATTTTTTTTACAGTGCACCGAAGAAATTCAGTAAAGCATGATAATTGTATTCTGTGACTGATTAAACACATCTTTAGACACATTTTATATATTTTGATGGTTTTATTTATAAACTAATTACAATAAAACTAGGTATTTTATGGTCACAATTTACTTTTTACTCCCTGAAATGTCTTACATTAGTAATTATTGAATTGCTTTAAAATAAAGTTCACCTAAAATACAAATTAAAAGAAACAAAGGTTAATATTTCACTCACACTCATACCTAACAAATTCAGTAAAGCACGACTGACGTAATTCGTGAATGAATAAACACATTTTTAACAACATGTCATATATTTTGAAGGTATTATTTTTAAACTAATTACAAAAAACTGGGTATTTTATTGTCACACTTTAATGTTTATCCCCTAAAATGTCTTACATTGCAAATTATTGAATTGATTTAAAATATCGACCTAAAATACAAAATTAAAATTTGTTGCCCTCTACCGGCAGTATATGCAATTTGAGATGGTACTAAAAAGACAGAAAAGGCCACACAGTGAAAAAAAATCCTGGTTGCCCTAAATTTTTAAGCTGAATCACAGGCCTGTAGCCAGCCTATTAAAAAAGGTTGCACTTTTTTTCGCTGAAAAAAACCATCTGCAGTTATTCGAGGTTCAAATACTGCATTTTATTGATTTATTTATTTAATTATATTTAAAAATAATGCAATATTTACAAAGGCTCTGAGCCTAGCTAGGCTGGTCAAGCTGGTTTTAGCTGATCAGACTGACCATGCTAGAAATGGCTGGGAATCAGCCTGGAAATAGCCAAAACCCCTCTAAAACCAGGCTGGTCGACCAGCTAAAACCAGCCAACCCGTCTAGACTGGTTTAAGCTGTTTTTTTTTCAGTAGGGATAGAGGCCAAATTCTGGACTTTGTTAGAAGGGGGGGGTCTTTCGAACCACCCGATCCCTATTAAACTGAATTAAAACAGCTTGCATAACTTATAAAATTAAGTTGGAACATGGTTAACTTAGTTTAATAAGTTACAATGAACTAAAACATATGCTGTCATAACTACTTGATCGTGTCTTTTTGTACAGTGCGTACATTGCCAAATTTCCCACAGCTATTTTCATCAGTGTTGCCAACTTAGCTATTTTGTTGCTAGATTTAGCAACTTTTCATACTACCCTAGCAATGTTTTTTTTAAACAGCACATAGCAACAAATTTAGCCATTTTTAACATTCATTTGGCTACTTTTAGCGATTTTTAAAAAATGACTCAAAAAATGAGCTTAAATTGTTTTTCATAAGTGTTAATTTCCTGATATCTGTTAACATGTATGATTGTGGGTAATTTAGCAAGCAATAATTTCCAATAGTGCTATAATTGTTGTCACTTTCACAAATGTGTTAATTTCACAAGTTAAAAATAAGTACACAAGCTGTGATTGTTTAAAAGAATGTAACTGTTCATTATCAGTGTTATATTTAAAAATAATTAAAATAAAAAAAATTTGTATTACTTTTATTTATATATAACTATATATTTCATACAAATCTAAAGGGACATATTTCCAATAATGTTTTTGCTGAGATGGCCAGTCAGTTTGAGAAAACTTTTCTTGTATATTACATAAAGAGGTAGTTTTAAGTTGCGATTACGCAACCGTCATCACGCAAAATAATGTGTTAATAGGAACCTATTTATTGTGCATCTAGATGTAAAGCTTTAATATAATATAATACACACCGCCTCAGAGAGTAGAGACATGATGGTCTTACGCTTGACAGATACTACGTAATGACGTTTTTTTTTTTTTTTTTTCGAATTTTGCATATTAATTTTTTTCTTTTTTTTAATTAAAGAATGCAAATATACAACCACAATCAGGAGATCGATATAAGAGACATACAAAGGAGAAAAATACAAATTACATTAGTTGCAGAAAAAGAAAAAAAAGAGATTAACAAAACAAAGGAAGGGGTGAATAAATTACAATTGTATAAAAGTGTATGAAATTAAATTAAGAGCATTGGGAAAGCGTTCTACCTTAAATCAAGGCAACAGTTCTTCATATAGAACCAGGAATCTGACACATTTTTTTTGTTTTTACATATATGGAAAGATTTCAGCAGTGAGTCAACTTCAATCAGAAAATGTAAAAAAGTAGGGACTGAACACTGAAGCCATGCATTTTTGTTTATGTATTAATAAACTATATAAAAAAGATAAATTCTTTAGATTTATGTGAAGATTCTGAGTAATACTACGTAATGACGTCACTAATATGCAAGTTAGTGTGTGACGTCATCTGGTAACATTTAGCTACTTTTTGGGCAGGCTTGAGCTACTTTTCAATGGAAATAGTTGGCAACACTGATTTTCATTACAAAAAGCATACGCCCATGATACGTCAGAGTCAAATAGGCTATGACAACACAATCATATAACAAAAGACAAGAAGAGGATTAACACACACTTAATAACGAGACACTTCTAACATAAACTCATATATAGCTGTAAATAGCCATATAGGCCTACTATCAAAAGTATGTCGCTCATTCTAGCATTCAAAGGCCCGGCGAAGTGAGGAAGTCTTGGACACCGTGGTGGACTTCACGTCACGTCAGAGAGAGCCCGCGCAATGTAGCTCGAACTTAAACTTACCTTCACCACCTGTAGCTCCCTTTAACTCATTTTCGTCTGTCGTCTCTCCATTCTTCCCATCTGCCATGGTTTAATTCAGTGCTAATACCGGTATGATAGCTTGCTAACTAAGTTAGCCAGAGCAGCCTAACTATCTCTGAATCTGCTAAATCCACAGTTTCCAACGCAATACAACATAATATAGTCACGTTATTGACTCTTGTAGTTATAGCTCCTTTACAGAAGCACCGTTAGACCGATACAACTCTTACACTGAAGTACCCAGTCGTGGAGAAGTTTTAGGAGCAATCCATAGGAACGTACGCGTCCGGGGAAATAACGCGGAAATGGAGATGACTGACGGCCGCTGTGCGCAGAATCGTGCCAAAAATGCCTCACAGCACCAGCATGAGTCCGTTATTTCAGACACCAAACACACGTTTAATCATGGGTCCTTCTTCATTTTATAAAATTTATTTTAGTGCTTAGTAAATACGAAGCAGCAAGATGTAAAACAACAACTAGACAAACACGCACTCATGCATAATAGACGAAATGTGCTTAAATATGCATGGGAATGTCACGTACTGTAAATAAGAAAGAGAGGTTATTTAATACTATCAATGATAATACTAAAATAATGCTAGTTTCACAAACACGAAGTGTGTAATTATTTATTTATTAATAGTTTTCGTTCATTTGAATTCTTTGGAATGCTATTTATTTTATATTGTTTCCCTTCATTCATGTACTGGACAGGGGATATATTTGCAGTAATACTTCTTAATATTCATATATAATTTCATAGCGTCCTCAAGTAAGATGATTTTATGCATTAATCTCATTATGTAACGTACAAAATTCACCACAAGATGTCACTATCAGACAGCAACACAATTCTGCTGGCGAACAACGACAAGTGGTACTCACTGCTGCACTGCTGAGTCACATGGGCAGAGCTGAGCTCCATATATATATATATATATATATATATATATATATATATATATATATATATATATATATATATATATATATATATATATATATATAAAGTTTTATAAAAAAAAAATCATGATTTTTTATTATTATTCTGTTCACCAAGGTGGCATTTACTAAATGTAAAAAATTGTTAAATATTCATTTACAAAATAATATCGGCTTACTTATTGTATGTTGTTTCATATGAAATGATTACTCCAGTCATTATTGCTTTTATTACTATTACCATTATTATTATTATTATTATTATTATTATTATTATTAATAATAAATATAATAATATTAGAGTGATTTCTGAATGATCATACGTCTGAAGAATGGAGTAATGACGCTGAATATTCATCTTTAAAATCACTGGAATAAATGATTAAATTAAATGATAAACTACTCATAAACAGTTATTTTATAGTGCAATAGCACAATCTTACTATTTGTACTGTATTTTTGATTAAATTAATGCAGCTTTATTGAGCAGGATAAGCTTATCTTTAAACATTTAAAAATCCTACTGAGCCCAGATCTTTGAACGGTATTGTATATATTATTAGTTCAATGCCACAAGAACAAGATGTATTACATATTTAAATAGTTTTCTGAAAGAAAACATATTTAAAAAAAAAAGATATTTACATGAAATTAAATGTTTTCAGAGCATTACATGTTTTCAGGGCTTTTTTGTTTTGTGAACATTAACGAATTAGAAATTAATGCAGACTTTTGTAGTTACAAAAATATGTCAACGTGTAAAATAAATTTAGTGAAACCCAATTATATATTATGACTTAAGATTCCTCATTTTATTGGTCTTACCATCTATAAAAATATTAGTAGGCCACTATAGTGTTTTTGAACCATAGGCTACAGTAAAGTCTATTATACTGTTTAGCATACTGTAGTTTTAACTATCATAAACTGAAGAAAAAATGATAAAAACTACAGTTATACAGTAAATTGTGATGTATTGTAGTAAAAACCGAAGCCTATACAGTATTTGTTTATGTCGGTTGTAGCTATTGGGCTATATTGCAATATTTTATTTATTTATTTATTTATTTATTTTTTTACAGAATCTTGAAAAGATGTCAATAACTTTATTGCTGACAATCCTTATCGTAAAATCTTATTGAAACTGTCATTTTTTTGGCAAGAACTTTTATTTAAATGATGCTGGGTTCCACACAATTCCTTTATGTTTAGTTAACTTAATTGTTTTTACATATATTTAAGGGGATTGAACGTAAAATAATTAAGTTGTTCGCAAAAAACGAAAGAACTCAACTCATTTTAAATTAGTAGTTTGACCAAGCAGCAAATGTCATTCTTTGAGTGCAATTTCATCATAAATGTTATTTGTTTTTTACGTTATTTTTATGTTTTACATTTTACATTCACAACTGCAAATATAAATCTGTACATGAAAAATAAAATTCAAATGTGTGGAAACCCAGCAGTAACAATACTCTTCTTCACAACATGTCAACATTCCCGTTTTATATTATTTCCATTTTTTACTGGGAACTCCCATGAATTGTATGGCCCTATTCAGTTCATATAAGTAATTAACTTTTTTTTTCAAAGGTTGTTGTGTTGACAGATCTTGTATCCCCCAGTAACACAAGCAAATTTCAAACCATTTGTGAACTCAACCTGGCAACCTAAAAACCAGTTGTGCTGTTGAGTTCTGCGCAGGTACTACTGTATAGTAGACACAGCAGGTTGAATCTACCATCAGTGGTAGAAAATGAAGGAAAGAGTGTGGTGGTGCTTGAGAGGTAAATAATAATAATAAAATAGTATGCAGAATGTCACAATGTAATTGTAACACAATTACAAAAACGAAATACTTATTTACGGCGACGCAATGGCGCAGTGGGTTGTGCTGTCGCCTCACAGCAAGAAGGTCGGTGGTTCGATCCTCGGCTCAGTTGGCGTTTTTGTGTGGAGTTTGCATGTTCTCCCTGCGTTTGCGTGGGTTCCCTCGGGGTGCTCCGGTTTCCCCCACAGTCCAAAGACATGCGGTACAGGTGAATTGGTTAGGCTAAATTGCCCGAAGTGGATGAGTGTGTGTGTGAATGTGTGTGTGGATGTTTCCCAGAGATGGGTTGCGGCTAGAAGGGCATCCGCTGCATAAAAATATGCTGGATAAGTTGGCGGTTCATTCCGCTGTGGCGACCTCGGATTAATAAAGGGACTAAGCCGACAAGAAAATGAATGAATGAATACTTATTTACTTTTAAAGGGAACCCATTTTGCCCCTTTTTACCAGATGGAAAATAAGTCTTTGATGTCCCTAAAGTATTTATGTGAAGTTTCAGCTCAAATATCAAACAAGTAATGTTTTTTAACTCTCTGAAACTGCACTTTTTAGGCTTCGATCCAAATTGTGCCATTTTGGTCACTGTCGTTTCAAATTCAAATGAGATTGTGCTCCAAGCCCTAATTTCAAAAGAGGGCGGAGCTGCAGATGCCTATGTGTGAGCATAGCGGCTGATTCAAAAATAAGACTGCTGTCATGCTAGAGTTAGAGATCATCACTAATGGGCGGGGCTTTCCCCCTCTGATGACACGTACAAAGGGAGAATGTCAATCAAAGTGTTTCTGCAGACTGTTTTTATCAACTGTGATTATAAAAAATAAAATTAATACATTTTTACCTAAATTTTTAACTACATAAAACTACAAAATCGAAGGGGAAGGCTGGGATGGGGTGTTACCCTTTTATTTTCATGGAGAGTGCTGGGTTTATGACTTGCTATGCATCCAGCCACCAGTGGGTAATGTAAAGGTTTTGGCTTTACTTGGTATACACGATTGCATGATTGCATATTATGTTGTATAGTTGTCAAACACTAGCCCTTGCCTTTATCATATCTTTGGTATTTGGCATTTGGTAATTATGGATTCTAACAATCTTAAAATCATGAAATCAACATGAATATGAAATCCCAAACATGCTTTACAAGTCAAACCAATATTTCTGTGCGTATAATATGTACTTTACCCCTGAAATGGTAATAATATCATTAATTATAATAAACTAACAAAGCATTTGCATGTTCACAGATCCATGATGGTAAAATGTAATGTGTATGATTCATTTATCACCCCTTATAATTCAAGACTATCCTGTAAATGCCAGATAAATTGTGATTGTGTTTGTGTTTCATTTTTTTTTTTTTTTTACTTCATCCTACATCTGCAGGCTAGTCTTGAAATAGAAGGGTTGATAAATTAATCACCATTTTTGTATATATGATATGCCAACACTGATTGGGTTAATTTATGTAATATCTTCAATGCTTTATCAATCCTAAATCAACACATGGCTAAAAGGCTGCATAAACCTGCATCATGTGGCCAATCTCTCTATTAATGCAGAACCAAGGTGTTATTAAAAGAAAGCGTTTGGTAAATTTTTTGTTGCATCATATAAATATAAAAGCTGTAGAAGTCACAATAATCAGACCCAATTTCTATTTAACATTCAAAAACAGTAAATCAGTAGCTTTTTTTGTCTTTTCTCAAATGTCCCAGTTTGGCATAATTCACAGTTGGTTCAGAGAAGAGCAGGACCCGCTCTCTTAACACTTTTACCACTTTTCGAGTAAGTAAATGCAATATACTAGAGTCATTATTAGTGAGGCTCCAGGCTTAGCCTAACCAAAGTACTTGGTTTAGAGTAGAGGCCTGGATAGGTGTGTCTAACTGCCAGATTACCTCAACAAAAGTAAGATGATACTGGTGAAAGAAAAGAATCCAGCCTCCCCTTTTATTGAGCATGCTGTTTCTCAGCGTATTAAACATCAAGTTTAAAGGGATAGTTCACCCAAAAAATGAAAATGTGCTCACTTTTTACTCATTCTTAACCCTCTACCACATGCATTGTTCAATCTATAAAATCTAGATTCTTTTTTTTAAATGGTTTAACCTGAAGTGCTGTAAAAAAAAAAAAAATTGGAAAAAAATTTTTTAAGGTACTTTATGATATGTTGCCATATTAATGGCAACAACGTCCAACAGTGGATCTAACTCAGAAATTTAAAATTCAGAATTTTCCTTATAATTAATCATTTTGTTGTTTGAAATGATTTAATTGGAGTTGCAGCGTTATAAGCTTTAACACCGAACCTATAAATGACGTCTTATAAATACTTTCCAACTGTAACGGGGAGACTGACACGGAGGGATCCATTATGCAGTATTTATTAGTCACACTTTCACTCAAACAATCAACACGCACAAAGGTGCGAACATA